GGGTGCGTGTGTGACACGCACCACTTGCGGCGAGATGGGCATGATGAGCATGCTCTCGGGGGGGTGGAGGGTGTCGGCCAGACGGACAGACATGTCGGGGATGCGCAGCTCCTCTGCCAGGATGTTGCGGCCGCCCTGATGGGATGGATGACACCGAACACACCGGCCACACACACACACACACACACAAACACATGTAGCTTAGCTGGCCGGCATTGATGTGTGTGTGTGTGTGTGTGCGGTAGGCACCCCTCTGAGGAAGTTGGCGTGCACGACGAAGTTGGCGCCGTCGAGCGGGCACTCGACATCAGTGCTGCATGGCATGTAGCCACACACGCACAGAAATGGGCACCAATGGACGGGACACACTGCCTGTGTGTGCTCTCGCACCAGATGTCGTGCTTCAAGAGGTGATCCCGCAGCGAGATGGTCATGGTCTCCCCCTCTCCCTCTCCCTCCCCCTGTGCCTCTGCCTCCACCTGGACCTCACTCGACGCCGTGTCCCACATGACGTCCGTCAACCTGACACACCCACACACACACACACACACTCAACGTGCTCCATCTGGGCGGTCGGGTGGGTAGATGGGCATGCTTACGTGAGCCATCGGTACTGGCGGGTCTCATCGTCGCTCATGAGCGAGATCAGCACGGGCTGCTCCCCACGGCTGCGGAGTGCCGCCATCACGCGGTCGACTGCAGGATGGTCGGTGGCGTAAGGGGGCCGCTCCCGCCGTCCCGTCATGTGCTCGAGGTGCGCGCGGCTAGCCACCAGCGACACTTTCTCGCCAGGGGGGTACCTGCACCACATAAACACCCACACACACGAGCGAGCAAAGGCATCCACACGTGTGTATGCCGTGTCGTGTGTGTGTGCGTGTGTGTGTGTGCTTACGTGTGGATGTAGTGAAGGCTGGCGTGCACGAGCTCCCAATCGATGGCAGGGAGGGTGTGGTCGAGGTGGTGGTGGTCAGGTTGGTCAGGTGAGTGTGTGTCTTGGTTGGCGACGAGGGGGGCGACGAAGACACAGGGGGGGAGGAGGGCGTCCCGGGGGATGTTGCCGGTCATGTCGCCCGGCACCCACTTGGACCAGTCGCTGAAGGTCCGCATGTCGATCATCTCAGACATGCGGATTAGCCAATCCTGCAATCCACACACATGGATGGATGGATGGATGGATGCCCCCCACCCTCCCTCCCTCCCTCCCCCTGTCCCCTGTCCCCTGTTTGTTGCTTACGTGCAATGCCTTCATCTGGTCCATCGTCAGCTCGATCCTCCCCTGCCGCTGCTCCCTCACCTCCACACACATGCCAGCGTTGTTCCACGGGCAGTAAGCCGGGACTTTCACGAGGCCCTCAACGCCCTCTGGGGTGTCCTTGATGGCCCACGGGAGCATCACGGCCAGGGGCAGCCGCGTGTTGGCGCGCAGCCACATGTCTTTGGGGTGGGGCGATGCGAGGGTGAAGGAGAGGGTGTACATGGTGAAGTGGCGCTTGACGGGGGGCAGGGGGTGCTCTGGGTCGGTCTTGAAGAGGGACGGCTGCAGGGAGCTCGGCCAACAGGTGCACTGCGGCGGCTGACAGACGGACAGACAGACAGACAAACAAGCAGTGACGCTTTCCTGATGTGCAATTTGTGTCGAGCGTGTGCACCGTTCTGGCGCGGATCGGCGCTGTGGCAATGGGGTGGTCCTTGGGTATCGGCAGCAGACCTGGTGTGTCGCCATCTGCCGGCAGTTCCGCTCCCCCGTCATTCAGCGCCAAAGCAGACAGCCCCTCAGCGACAAGCGGCACACACACAGGCTGTGGCAAAGGGCCAGAGGGGTCCTCAGCGACCGTGGCGGGGTAGAAGCTGTCAGCTGCCGGGCTGGCGCACGTCCACACGTTCGCCCAGTCGGAGAATGGCACATAGGGGGCGTTGTCATTGATGGTGCCGCTGCTGATGCGTCTGGTTGCTGTGGTGGCAGCGAGGGTGAAGTAGCTCTCGGTCACTTTCACCGGGCTCGTGAGCTTGTTGTTGCGCACGTGATAGGAGGCCTTGAGCAGCTTCTCCCGACGGACGATGAGCGTGTCGGAAGGGTAAATCGCCTCCAGGGAGGCCAGGTGCACCAGCAGCCGCACCGTCGTCACGTAACCGCGCCGCTCGCCCACCCGGCCATCGCGGAATATGTCGCAATCCCACACACCATAGCCGTCGGGAAGGTCCACACGCGCGAAGGGCACGTTGTTAGAGTCGTCCCAGCAGACCAGACAGGAGGACGGCTGCAGCGAGTGGCGCTGGAAGGTGGCATCGGTTTTGAGGTAGCGAGACGACCGGGGGTTCCCGACGTCGACAGGCTGCTCGCGAGCCGGGCGGGGACCGAACGGGCCTTCCACCATCTTCGGGGCTGACGTGGGGGTCGTGCTGGCTGTGGTGGTGGGTGTGGGTGTGGGTGTGGCGCCGCGGAAGACGAACACGCCATCTCCCCTGCGGAACGACTCGTCGATGGCAGCTGTCGTGGCGAAGAGACCGCTGCTGCTGCTGCCGGCCTCCTCCTTTGGTGGGTCATTCTCCTGGCAGAGAGCGACAGCACCGATTTCCTGGATGTACTGGTCCATCAGGCGATTGTCGTCGGGTGAGTCTGAGCAGCGGTCGGAGGCTGGGCCGTCCTCAGTCAGGGGGCTGTTAGCGCCGCCTCCTCCTCCGTCACGGTGGTCGTCTCTTGTGGGCTCCTCGCTGGAGGGCACAGTCACACTCGCCGACACACCCACAAGCTCAGCCTGAGTCGACGAGTCGCGCGCGAGTGTGTGTGTGTGTGTGTGTGGATGTGTCTTCTTAAGTCTTTTGCTCACCGTCGGCTTGCTGCCCTCGTCCTTGTAGAGTGTGGGGTCGCCCATGAGTTGGTCGACAGCAGGAGACGGCTCCGCACTCTCACCCTCACCGTCACCATCGCCACACACCGCCTCAGTCACAGCCGCATCCTCTCTCACACACAACGAGCTCTTGATGACATTGTCTGCAGTGGAATGCACGCGACGACACACAGGCATGGTGCTGCGTGTGGTGATGCCACATGGCATCACTTCACACACCTGGGGCTGGTGTTCCGCCGATGTGGGGGGCGAGGGGCATGTGTTGGGTGATGTGTGTGGGGATGTGCTCGGCGAGGTCGCTGCTGCCCCCTGTCCCCTGTGCGAACCACAGGTGGTCATCCGCCACAACCAGGGGGTCCTGACACACACAACCAACGCAGCCAACACACCACACACGTGTGTGTGCGCGTGGGGAGGCGAGGGCGTGTGTGGTGTGGCTAAGGCGCACCCCTGGCTGGATCGGCCTGCCCGGCATGCTTGTCAGGACGACTGCAGGGATGCCCACACCAACCTCCTCAACCTGAGTGCATCGAAACCACACACCACACACCACACACACGTGCACACACAACACCGTCACAATCTCACCCACAGCCAACCTACCAGGTGGAATCGAGCATTGACGTCCCACCCACGGCCTTGCCTGACGTAGTAGACCTCATTGCGGCGGTCAGAGCAGTCCAGCCATACGGCGCCGCGGTTGTTGATGGGTTTGTGCAGCACAAACACGTCCTTTGGTGGGGTGGCCTTGCCGTGACGGAGCTGCCCGCACAGCTGACCGAGCACCACTGGCACCTGCACACACAACACAACACAACACACAGGTGAGGTTGTTGTTGTGCAACCGCACACTCTATCTAACACACCCACAGACGCATCACAACACCCGAGTGTGTGCGCACCACACACATGCGGCTGCATGCATCCCATCACTGCGTACCCTGTGACTCCTCGGGATGGCCTCTCGCCCGCCATACACCGCAATCAGGTCCTCCTCCTCCGTCGGCTGTGCCAACGGCAGCTGAACGACGCGCACCTGGCACAGAGGATCCGACCTGTCCAGGGCCCTCTCGACGTCCCGCCACACCCAGAGGTCGTCGGGCAGGGTGGCACAGGCCAGCTCACCTCTCTGCACCCCCCCTGACGCTGATCTCCGCAGCCGGAGGATCTTCTCGCGCAGGTTCTTGCCACTGATTCTCACCGCTGGCGCGTGAACGAGGCCTCTGAGCTCCAGTAGATCCCGAAACTCACGTGGCGTCATCATCTTGTTCCCGCAAGAGGTGGACGGGCGGCAGCCCGCGAGACGCCCGAACGACGAGAAATGCTACTTTGAGGTTGGGGAGGGAAGATCCGCCGGGTGCGGAGTGGGGTGGCGATGCTGACAGGTGTGGCGGAGATGGGGAAAAGCCTCCGTGCGAGCTTGGCTTGCAGGCGCGAGCCACGGCGGGGCCGATCTGAAAATGTCGCCGGCTTCCACGGATACGTCGCCGTGAACCCGCGACCGGCGAAGACAATGGGATACGTCTGCAGGCGACGGCGCTGCAATGGGAAAGGTCTTCGACAACGATGACGACTGCTGATGGCGACAGACTCCCGTGGCTGCCCGCGACGGCCCCTCCGCCTCCCTCTTTAAAGGTAAAGAGTTCTCAATCAGCGCGTTGGACTCTCTCTGTGCGCGTCTGCGTGTTGGTTGATGATAGGAGGCCATCTGCAACCTGTGCAGCAACACTTCCTTCTTCGGAAGCGTCATAGCGATATGTTCCAGAGTCGTGAGAAGGCGATGTCGCACACTCGCCCGTCTGGAGGAGGAGGAAGGAGGCTGCGTTCGGCCGAAGATACCTTTTCTGGTCGGTGAGCTCCTCGCCGCCCCCCTTGTGGGCAGCGCGGAGCCCTCAGCGACCGTACAGAGGATGAAAGCCGCGGCTGTCCGGCTGACAGGTGGGAAGAACAAAGTGGGGGCCTCATTCTCACATCCCTTATGTCTTCTGTGACGCAGAGAGTGATGTCGACGGGCTCGTGTCGTCCTATGAGAGACTCTTCAGCTCTCTCCCCGCTGTCATCCCGGCCGAGGGCTCTCTGGGCAGCGCGCAGCTGACCAGTGTGCTGCTCACGTCCCTTGTGCTGTCGGACGGCAGCAACGACTGTCAGACGACACACATGGCTGCGTCGGTCTCACGAAGTGAGACATCTTCGCCAGACACCTCAGGACCTGACGACTCCGAAGCCCGCGCATACTTCGTGCCGGTGTCGAGCATGAGGCAACGCTTCCTCTCGGCTGACGACCTTGACTGTTTCAAACGCGCCCTCAGAGAGTGAGAGGGTGGAGACAGATCAGACAGAGAGAGACCGCCTTTCTCGTTCTCGTTTGTCTGATTCTGTGCTCGTCCCCTCCTCTGTGTGTGTTCAGTTATCTGGCGTATTGGGGCGTGGCCACGCAGACACAGAGGGAAAACACTGGCAAGCCATCGTCAGCGGCCCAGACCCAGGTGGCGTCGCTGCCGCCGGGCCACATCACCAAGGCACGAAAAAAGCTCATGGAGTGCCTGTGACCGAGCCGAGAGGCGTAGGCATTCGAGTATGCAGTAGCTAAGTGCGGCTGGCTGTGGAGCTCAGCTTTGGAGCCCGCAGCCAGCCACAGCACATCTGGCACATGTGGCACATGTATGGGGCGTGAGAGGGGGTTTTCGACTGCGAGTCCGGGAGTGGGCTTCATGTGTGTGTCCGGAGGGAGAGAGAGCTGCCGCATTTATTGTATTGCCAATTGATTGATGCTTGCTGTATTTATTTTTTAGTATACACTGCTCTGCTCACACAGTGAGTGAGTGAGTTTTCATGGGAGAGTGAGAGGGGCCCGGGCGCTGGCTGGGGTTTCGCAAACACATGTGTTGCATGAGGAGTGAGTGCATGACGAGTGCGTGGTTTCTAAAGAGAGGTCTGGGGTTTGTTGTCTGCGTCAGCCATGGTACATGTGTGCGTGGACGCGCCTGTCTGAGGAGAAAGAACGACTTGACGTATTGCTCATGCTGCATGACCTTTCTCGTACGCACCAATGTGACACAGACATTCACACGTAAGCTTCAATTCACCCGTCAATCGTGGTCACTTGTCGATTCAGTCACACGGAGGGGCCAACGGCCCCAAAAATAACGACACATGCACACGAGCGGCTGGCTGGCTGGCCCGCCTGAGAGAGAGGAACAGAGAGACAGAGAGAGAGCAGTGCGGCAGCAGCAGAATAGAAGCTGCAGTGCGATCAAAATCTTGGGAGGAAACAGTGCGAGTGAGAGAGAGGGCGGGAGGGGGAGGGGGAGGGGGAGGGGGAGAGGGAGAGGGAGATCCGGGTCAATTCGATTACAAGAGTACATGTACAGAGAAACACTCACCAATCAAATCAATGCGTCAGCCAGCCAGCCAACCACAGGTCCATCCATCCATCCATCTGTACAGCATCTTCCACATGCATGTGCAGCGCACCCCCACACCCACACACCACACCCACACGCACACCTCGCATTGCATCTCTCAAGCACCCTCCGGCTGTCTGTGGTATGTATGGCCCCCCAATCCTTCACCTCCCCAAGGCAACCTTCACGAAACAAATCTAACATGATTTCTCGCGTGAAGGTTCTGATCAAGGAGATGAAAGAAACTGGGGCCAAGAAGAGGCGGCGATTTGCAGACAGCAGATATACAGACAGGCAGGCACGACAGCAGCATACACACCAACACTCATCCGACCTCGGCTACATTACATCTCAGCACCAACCCGTCAACACCCACCCGCCGCCCACCAGCAGCTACTGAATCAGACTCCCTCCTCCATGCCCCTCCTGCGGCTCAACTAGCTGCCCGCCTCCTTGCCCCCACCACCACCACCACCGCCACCATCCGCAGGTGCGGCTCCTTTGATGCCATTGACCATCGGTCCCACACCCACACCCACACCCCCGCCGCTCTCCTGCCCCTCCTGCTGCTGGGCAGCGGCAAACGCATTGTGAATGCCAAGGTTGCCCAGTTGAGAGTGGGCGGCAGCTTCTGGCGGCGGAGCACTGTTGTCGGGGAGAGGGGGAGGGACAGGGACAGGGGAAGGGGTGGTGCTCGGCTGGGATCCAGGCTGCTCCTCGCCCTCTGCAGCAGTGGCGTTGGGTTGGTTGGGTGCTGCGGCGCCCTCGGTGCCGGGCTTGGGGCGGTTGGGGTGCACCCATTTGCTGCATCGCTCGATCAGCCAGACAGGACAGACAGGTCAGGCGAGGCCGCGTGTGTTGTGTGTGTGTGTTGGTTACCGTTCTAGTCCGATTTTGAGGTTTCTGGCGTTGAGGCAGATCTTCTCAAACTTCTGGGCCACCAACTCCAGCTGCTTGGCCTGACAGACACACAGACAGACAGACAGACACACAGACAGACAGACACACAGACAGACAGATTGAGACGGGGACACAGGTGGGGTCGGACGTCGCCCTCTCCGGTCTGGTTTGTTGCGTGTGTTCACCAGCTCGTCGGGTGAGGGGTTCTCTCGGAATTTGATGGTCTTGATCAACGCCTGAGAAAACTCCCTGCACACACAGGATCACACAGGCAGGCAGACAGTGAGGTGGGGAGAGGTTGCATTTTGAGGCGTGTGCCTTGTCTGTGTGTCGGGCTTACTTGCCCATGATGTGAACAGCATCCATCTCGATGTTGGAATCGCCTGCAAAGGCGTATACACACACAGACAGACCGACGGACAGCGTTGTGTGCCCATGTGTGCTGATGTGTGGTCTGCTTGCTGTCTGGCGGCACTGACCTAGTGAGATGAGGTTGGTGATGATCTCCGCATTGAGCTCACGCTGCACCTCCAAGAACGCCTGAATCTGCACACATGATGCCATACGCAGTTAGGGCGCCAGCCAGGTAAGCCCTCTGCGTGAGTGGGTGAGTGGCGGGTGTGGTGTGGGTAGGGAAGGTACCTTCCACTCCTGGTACTGTCCGGGAAATCGGTGCTCATAGTTGCCGCGCGCTGAGATGATCTTGATCTTCTTCCCGCCACTAACACAACACACACACACACACACGTGTGGCTGGGTGGGTGCGCGTGTGTGTGTGGTGGGTGGTGCTGAGCGATGCTCACATTCCGTTGTCGAGTAGCTGTTTGATGGAGGGTATGTATTTCTGCGACGAGTACTCGACCCACCCGCTCATGGCGTTGGTGATGATGAACACGTGACCCAGCCGCATCGCCAGCTCCAGCAAATGACGCTGAACACAACACAACACAAGACACACACGTCCTGCTACACTCACGTGTGTGTCTGTCTTTGTGGTGTTTCCGGTCCGCTGCCTGACCCCAATGTTAGCGATGTTGTCGAGTTGTTTGCGTGTGTTGGGGTGGCTCTCGTCGCCCCTGAGGTTGAGGTATGACGTGCACAGCAGCGTGTCGTCCCAATCGAAGATGATCACTGAGTGAGTCAACGAGGGACGTCATACACACACACACACACACACACAGGAGTGGGCGAGTCGACACATGAGTCAGCGACTGAGACAACACCTGTGGGCTCATACCTGTCTGGTGCCTCGGAGCCTTCCTGGCGTTGGGCACCCACACCTGGCTGCACACACACACATACCCACACACACAAACGAAATTGCGCCGTCCTGCATTTCCACATCACGTCGCACCACACGACTCAGACTCACTTGTAGGAGAGTTTCTTGAGGTAGTTGACCCTGAAGTCATCCTTGCTCCTCAGGTCCAGAATGTTCATCTCAAAGTCGCCCTGTGTGGCCTTCTCGGCCTTTTCCCCGGCCGGCGGTGTGGTGTAGATGCGCTCCAGCCGGTCCGGCGCCTCCTGCTGCACGACGGGCGGCGGCCGCACATAGTGGCTCTCGATGCCGAGCTTGCGCAGGAGTTGCTTGCGGTGTTTGTCGTCTGGCGGCGTGAAGGGCTCCGTCGGCTGAGACTCTCCCTGACCCATCCTGATCAGGAAGGCCTTGCTGCGAGGGCGTCGCTTGTCGCACCGAAACGTCCTGCCTGGCCGTGTGCTGTGTTAGTTGGCTGGTGCCGCCCCTGCTTTGCTAGATGGGAAGCTGATTCAGCGAGTTGGTGAGACTCCGCGTCGCGTGAGGGATAAGGACTCTTGGTTGCGAGAGAAGAGAACAACCGTGTGCCTCGCTTCTCGCAGACTCGCAATCAAGGAGAGCAGATATGGTACTGTACTGCTGCGCTTTCTGATGGCAGAGAGGCAAAAACGTCTGCCTTCTGGTTCGAAATTCCAAGCTCGCAGAGTTTTTTTTGAGCTTGCAGATCTTTCGCCGCGGCGCTTTAACCGCTCTCTCTCTGACCGAGGCGTGCGCCGCTGGATTTCTTCAGTCGTCATGAGCGGAGATCTGAGCGACTTCCATGAGTTGACGGATGTGCTGGAGTTGGTGGTGTTCGCAAGACGCCGCTCAGCCACAGAGTGGTGAGGGCAGACAGAGCGCGAAGCAAGCTTTGAGAGCAAGCAAAACCATTCCATCTCTTTCATCATGATTCACTATGTGCGGTCAGGCTCGTGTGGTGATGGTTGACTTGTCGATGCGCTGAGCGCCAACCCATGGCATTCGCACCTTTTCTGCTGTGAGCTTGGAGGCAGATACTCCACTCCACACACACACACATCACTGACAGAGAGGGCCTTGTGTGTGTGCCAGTTGGGGCGGGTTTGGTATGCTAAAGCTCACCAGGTGGACAGGGGGAGAGTCATTGTCCAGCTTGTGCGCGGCAGGTTTGGATGCTGTGTGTGTGTGTGTGTGTGTCGTTTCTTGCAGACGGTGTTGGCTGGGAAGCTCGTGACGCTTTGACAAGAACAAATTGATGCGCACCATGCCAACGATGACAAGGATGCCGCTCAAGGGTTGTATCGGTCAACATTCAGCCAGCCCAATCCTGGGGCCGCGCTCTCGAGGACGGTATCCCTAAAACTGAGGCCATCAGTCGGCTGGAAAGCGCCATACAACTTGAGCAACCTGATTGCTAGGTAAGGAGAGGGAGAGAGAGAGAGAGAGAGAGAGAGAGACGGGAGAGCATCGAGTGGTCAGATATGGCCACTCTCCCCTCTTTCCCTCTGTTCCTCGCCAGGTTGGTTTTGCGTGACTCGTCGCGTGCTCTGGAGGTCCTCAACCCACAGTCATCCCATGCAATGCACGACACACCAGTGGTGGACCGTCCCGCTGGCGGCTGTGTCTTATGTTTTCCCTGCCTGTGTAGTGCTGCCGGTGGTGTGGTGTTTTCCCCGTGTGTGGTCCATGATGCGCACCGACGTGCAGTGCAATGGACCACGTGGCCGGGGAATGGGTGTGGCGTGTGCACTTGTGATGTGATTTGTTCTGGTGGGCGGCTCCGCTGTCTGGGTGATGTATCTTGCTTGTGTTGCTTGCGTTGAATGAATGTGTTGAGAGAGAGCAGTACGTGCATTCGTGGCGTGGTTTGTGCAGTGGTGGATCCATGTGAAACAGGACGAGACTTGCGCTAACCTTGTGAGTTTATGTGCTTTGTCCTCTATCACACTCCCACGAGTCACTCACACCCATCGTTTCGTGCACCTTAGTGGCCCATTTCGGCTCTCTGTGTCTGTCTGGGTCTCTTCTGTCCTCCCAAAACATCGATACACACTTACCTGTTGCACCCCACCCCACCCTTCTGCAATGAACACATTATGTAGACAGACCAAACACACACACGCACACACACACAGACGGACGGACAGACAGACCGACAGACGACTCACACCCACACGCACATTGACAGGGAGGGGCCGGGCATCTTCATATCGCATCACATATGATCATCTCTCTCTGCTTGTCTCAACCGTGCCCACGAAAATTAGTCAGCCTACCTGCGAGTGGGCCACACATACTCACACCGAAGCTACACACCTTTTCTACCTGTGAAAGGAAACTAGCTAGCCTACCTGCGGGCGGGCCAGCCCTCGCTGTGTGACGAAACACACATCATGGCTCTCCCGCCCCTCTAGGCTCCCTCTTCCCCTCCCCTAAGCCGTCTTTTGCTTGTCTCCTGCATCACCCTTCGGCTGCTCCTTGGGCGCGTCCTTGGGCGGAGACTTGTTGCCCTTGCCTTTGCCTTTGCCGGTGCCCTTGCCAGGATTGCCCTTGCCCTTGCCCTTGATGGGAGTCTGTCTGGGGCCACAGTTGCCCTTGGTGGTGTCGCACACGCCGGGACCGTGGACAGGGCGAGTCTCCTCCTTCCCGTCGGGCTTGGGCGGCTGCTTCCCGGCGGGCGGCTGAAGCTGCTTCTTGTTGTCGTCAGGCTTCTTGTCTTGCTTGGGCACCGCTCCTTTCGGACCCTCCTTCTTGCCGTTGTCGTTGGCTTTGTGGTCGCCTAGCTTGGGCGGCTGCTGCTGCTTGTTCTCGTCGTTGCCAGGCTTCACTGCCCCTTTCGGCGCCTTGTCGGTGTCGTCCTGGAGGTAGCGAGTGAGGGCCGGGGCGGGCGCGCACAGCAACACTGAAGGCACACGCAGACACACCACACACAAAGGGAACAGACACACGGGGGGGAGACCCACAACGTAAGTGAGAGGTGGGTGTCCTGCGCGAGGGGCTGACTGTACGCATCGTCGTGGCTCACGTGCTGGAGAGATGACGAGCAGCAGGGCGGCCAAGGCGGGAGAAGCCAGAGACGAACGCATCGTGGAAGTGATGTCGGCGAAGAGAAGACGAGAGAAGCAACAAAGGACAAGCACGAAGTCGACGAAAGAGAGCAAGGCCGTGCTTTGGCAGAGCTCGAAACGGCCGCGGACAACGCCGGCGTTACATAACGGAACGCAGAAACCTGGCCGCAGCCTCGCCCTCCCGTAAACGGAACCCACGTGCACGACTCACCACAGTGTTTGTTGCGTCAATTCACCCCTTTGCAGGTGGCGGGCGGCCTCGGCGCCCGCAAATCAGTGTCCGGGACGGGCCTCGCCTGCACAAAGAAGTGGAAGGAAGGATATGGCGGGGACTGTCGCCACGCCCGGTAGAGTACCAGCCGACGGTTCCAATTAGTTGAGGGAGAAAGGGGGCTTGGGGAAGCTATGTAAGTACATTCCTGTGACTTGGCGAGTGGGCAGATCGGATGTGCGTGTGTGTGTGACGGTGGGGCTCATCGGCTTCCTTTTCTCTCTCTTTGTCACTTTCGGCCCCTGTCTGTGTGTCCGTGCGGCGTGTTGTGTTTTGTTGTGTGTGAGAGTTTAATTGACACATCCCCTTCCCCCCCTTCCCCCCCCTCACAGGCCTGGACCGAATGTGTAATGCATCCATAGCTGATGGCGTGGCTGGACAAACGTGCGAAGTGACCGGACGAATCAACGGATCGCAATCTCTCGTGGCGCCGCACATTAATGCACCACACAACTGCCTTGTGTGTGTCCCTTTCTGTGTGCGCATACCCACTAGCTAAAGGGTGGGTGGGTTTTGGGGGACGGGGGATATGGAAGAGGTGGACGAGTGGAGTGAGCGGAGCGGTACACGCCGTGCATGCGTGTGTGTGTGTATGTGTGTGTGTGTGTGTGTGTGGATGGCACAAGAAACACAGCTTGGATGCCAACTAACACGAGTCAGAGTCTCAACGATTTGTCCACCTCATTCATCCTCATGTACGCTACGCGACAGTCACCTTGAACGGCCCTCTCCTCACAACATGCAGCTTGTCAGAGCAACTGCACAACACGAAGGAGACAAGTCTCTACAGACACAAACACACACGCGCATCATCATCCCATTGCGTGTGTGACCCTCTCACCTTCCTGATCTAAGGCGCCTGGCCGTCCAGGATGATGGCTGCGGTCGGCCCAAGGATGCGGCGCACCTTGGCGGCCGTCCGGGGGAACCGCTGTGCGAAGGGCGCGTCATGGGGGACACCCGTTGCCGGCGCCTCGAAGGTACAGATGGTCACCTCCACTGCACGCAGACAAGAGCAGATGATCAAACGACACGACAGCATGAGGATGTGCTGAGAATGTGTATGCGTACCGCTCTGGTTGTTGTTTGGGGAGATGTCGAAGGAAATCCATGCGATGAACTGGTCGTTGGATGACGTCAGCAGATGCGCCTGCCCACAGACCCCATCGGCCCGCTCCCATGTCAACACGCTTGAGCATCCGTCGGTGGGCGTATGTGGCGATCGAGTCATGATGCGGTCGACGTGGCCACCCCGCACACGACTGACACACACATCAATAGCGCACCACATAGTCATTCGCCCTCTCATTGCGTGCCGTTCGTCCACTCACCGGTCAACCACCACCGTTGGCGAGTCGGTGAAGCCGCCCACAGCCCGCACCCGGTGATGCAGGATCAGATGCTTCAGCATGGAACTCGCCAATACGTCAACAGTCCCGTTGTTGACGCCAACCGTCGCCCAGCCCACACCGCTTTGCCACACGATGCGGTTGCTGGCGGGCGGGTCGTGTGGCTTGGCGTGGTGGGTGAAGGGGTGCTGCGAGAAGGGATGGACTGGGCGGTTGGGGAGGGGGAGGGGCGGTTTGATGGTGATGGCGAAGTTGGGCTGATTGCGGATGGCGCGAATCTCGTTGTTGTTGTGGCGGAAAAGCTCGAGTGTGCCGTCTTGCTGGCCGGTGGGGCGGCGGAAGGCCACATTGCGGCCGACGACCATCCACTGCGCACAGAAACGGGGCAGCGCCAGGAAGTCCTGCAGCCAACACACACATCCAGCAGCTCACCGATTGCCTCTTCTGTGTGTCGTGTTTACCGCCTTGGTGGCGTGTGTCTGCAGATCCGCAGCACCCACAGTGACCGGCAGCTGGCAATTGCCGCAGTGCTCGGCGACTCTGAGTGTGTCGCTCACCTCCCGCCAGGCGCCCTCGCCTTCCTCCTCCACCACCCACATGGCCTTCATCACATCGCCGTGGCTCAGCTGATCGTCGAACTGCACCACACCGCCCACCCCCGCCCGCTCGATGGCCTTCGGCAGCCGAAGGCGGCGGACGATCGGCCGGAGGGCATTTCTGATGGGCCGGGCTGTCGACTTGAGGTGGGCGACGGCGGTCAGGTCAGACAGTGCGATGATGATGCTCATGGGGTTGGCAGGGATGTCAGTCATGTGCAACCGTCGCGCCTGATGACACACAGACAGAAGGACATACACACACAGGACATAAGAGGTGCACACCACATCAGTGTGGGTCTTGTGTTTGTGCCTGCCTGTGGTCACTCCCCCACTCACCTGTGTGCGGCGATGTCTTGTCAGTGCGATGGTCGAGTTGATGGTCTCTGCCAACTCGGCCAGCAGGTCGGACACAGCAGCAAATTGACGACTCACCTTGGCCACCATCTGACGAATGAATCAACACGACGAGAGCGACGCCAAGCAAAGTAGACTCCACAGACAAACAGAGGGCTTTGTGGTGTGTGGTGTGTTTGGCAGCCTGCCGCACCAGTGGTGCCATCGACGCTGCGGTGTCCATCTGCAGAAGTTGGTCGATGCAGCTGTTGACCTGCACACACACACACACACACACACACGCACACAAGCAGCCGTTGAGCTTTGGATGCACCGCATGGAATGGACGAGTTGGTTGGTGTGTTGGTCAGCTGATACCTGAGCCTGCTTCATCCGATAGCCCTCTACCCGGGGCAAGCAGCTGCTCCCGTATCAATGCGCTCATCTGCACCAAACCGAATGACAAGCCACACACAGACAGCACAAGTGATTCCCGTCATGATGTAGGGATTTGCCTGGCCTGCAGCTCCCTCTTCTCTCACCTGGGCGGCGGCACTGGCAGCCATCGTGCGACCAAGCAGCGAAAGCTATGGATCGGAGTGCTGTTTTGTGGCTTCAACGGGCTGTGCACCCCTCTGTCGTCGCCATGCTCCAATCACTGTCTTTCGGGCTTCCGTGAAACCTCTCTCTAGCCGACAGCTTGGGAGGAGAAACGTGAGGAGAAGGAATCGGAAGGGGTGTAATCTCTTCGTTATCTTGCTGGGTTCTTTCGATTTCATCCCACGACACTAGCTGGAGAGAATTGACGCACAAGCCTGTGTCAGCGGACATGACAAGCCGCAACGGTGCTAGGAGAGCGCCAGATGCGACAGCGTCAAACGAACGGCTTCAATACCAGGTCGGGATGGCCGCTCTGGTCCTCTCTGCCATCTACGGGTCATTACTGGTGCTGTCCTTCTTCCGATGGGACGTGCTTGTGATGCTCGGCTGCTTCACCATCGGCCTGGGATGTCTGGGAGACCTCGCATGGAGGACCGTCAAGCGGAGGGGCATGGCGACTTACCTGCCTGAGAGCGTGCATGAGATCCTGGAGGAGAAGACGCTGTATGAGATTATCCAGCAGTCCTTCGCCCAGAGCAACCACCTGTCGTCCGTCGTGGCGCTGCTCTACATGGCGCATGACGAACAGGAGCTCAAGCGGGCCATTCAGGAGAGGGCGCCGGAGCTCTACCAGACGCTCACCCACAAGGGCGTCCTCGGCCTGATGCCGCCTTATGCGTCGCGGCTCTACTACGGCACCAGCCGCATCGAGGCGGCTGAGAGCAAGCACCAGCACCATCGGCATCACGTCGCTACGAGAGCACACACGTTGATGGAGCCACCGGCTGCCATGCATCTGCTCAACGGCCCTTCGACATCAACGTCTTCGTCTGCAGCTGCCCAGCCTGACTTGGCTGACACAACGAGGGCTCGGCCGCATTCCTCTGCCCGTCTGCCGGTGAGCAGGCATCGTCATCGAGATGATGACAGTGGCTCAGATAGCCCCTCTCAACGGAGCGACCCCGGCCCCTCTCGGCGCGACACCATCCTCCCATGGGACACAGCACCACCGACAGACGACGAACAAGCGCCGCCTTCTCTCGCCCTTGTGCCGTCTAAGCCCCGTCACAGGCGGCCGGTCAACAAGCTGACTTTGGGTATCGACGACCAGCAGCTGTCGGAGGCCATCAAGGAGCTTGCTCTCGATCGTGCGTTGGGTGTGGTGGGGCTGGACAGGAGCAAGGCCGCATGGCTGCTGCGGATGGGGGGGTGGACGGTGCTGCTGGTGGGCGGCGGGGCTGCTACCATCGTGGGTGTGTGTGTGTGGCATCGGTATCATCAGAGGGGCGAGGGGTGGACGTCTCAGTGGGGCCTGCTCACGTCGGCGTGGTTGCCTGTCGCTGCTGCTGCCTCTGCTGGCGCTGGTGCCAGTGGTGGGCAGCAGAGTGCGGCAAAGCCAGGCTGACATAAAGAGAGATCTTCTTTTCAGAGGTGCTGTTGTAGCGTGGCGTGGCGGTGTGTGGCCGCCTGTGTGTCGTCTGTGTGTGTATATGAGTGCGGTTTCTCGGTGTGACGACCTGTGCTGTGGGTGGGGACACTGACTGACTGACAATGAGCGAAGAGCGACTGGATGAATTGAGGCGTTAATGGTAGTAGTTATATAGATAAGAATACACACACGTCTGGCCGTCTGTCTGTCAGGCAGCAGCACCACACAGCAGCAGGCAGCAGCACGCAGCAAGAGTCAGTCAGTCAGTCAAATCAGTCAGTCAGTCGTCGTCATTTAGGCCACTTAACGATATGATATCCACACACACGCACAACACACACACACACAACCATCATCACACGAGCTCCCACACGAATTGACCGACTGGCTGGCCTCCGGCAGCTAGTGCTAGTGTTGCTAGGTAGGAAGATCGTCGAAGGGACCTGCTGCACATGTCACTCACACGCACATGCACGCACACTCAAGTCAGGAGGGAGGACCATCCCCCCATCAGCCCTCCCACCCGCCCCCTCCTCCCTCCCTCCCCTCCCTGCCTCATTCTAGCGTACGTGTGTGTTGCCCCTGGTAGGTAGGTATGTGGGTGGGTAGAGACACCAGCGAACCAACAAAAGAATGATCCGACGTGCGTGAGTTGGTTGATCAAACAAGGGGAGGGGGTGGCCTGCCTGCCTGTCTGCCGAAAACAGTGGGGGGGAGGGGGGACTCAGTGAATCCCTCACGCTGAGGATAATGATTGGACAAATAGTTCCTTGCTGTGTTCGTTCGTTCGTCGGCTTGTCTGTCTGTCTGTCTGTCTGTCTGTCTGTGGTTGCCGTTTTGCCATCAGCCCTTCCCGTGTGTCTTGTGTGCGTATGGGCGTGTTGGTTAGTTATGCGCACACACGCACACACAGACACACACACACGGGGAGAGGGGGGCACAGCTAAATGGATACGGGAGCGAGGGAGGGAGGCACGCAGATATGGACTGATATGCACAATGCAGAGAGAGAGAGAGAGAGAGAGAGGGGGGGAGAGAGAGGGCTGCACAGTACACTGAATGGTCGTGATGGTACGTGTTAGCTATTACACACAGAAGGTAAGGTACACACACACACACAGATACAGACACACATACACATACACATAAGGAGAGGGGCGGGGGGCCATCCGTTTTGTGCCTCCATGCACTCACTCACTCCATCCGTCATGTAGGCAGCCAGGCAATCACGGAAAAGACTCAGGACGCACGTAGAGTACACACACACGCACACACACACGATAAGATAAGGAGACAGAGGCTACGCTAGCTACAACACATCCATCCTCACTTCGGTACCCCTACCGACCCGACGGACCATACACACCCACCGCCCTGCCCTGCCGGGACTATTACTTACTTAGTTACTTGGTTGGCTGGCTGGTTGATCAAAACGTATGTATGTATGCCCCCTCGCCGCGCCGCCCCAGTCGCCCGCCCGCCCTTCGCAGCAGCCAACACAGCCCAACCAACCTCCACAACGTACGTCTCCCCCTCGCTCCACACACAACCCAACCCAACCCAACGCATCACCGGCAGGCAAAGGACTTCATTCAGGCAGGCAGAGACACAGACAGAGAGACAGAGAGAGGCACATATGACAGGCTACCTACTTTATGGCTAGCGACTGTACCCTCACACACACACCACACAAAACACACCACACACATCACACAGGGCAAAAGTCAGGCGCCAGGCGTCGGTCGTACGAATCCAATAAGGGCAAGAGTTAGTGAGTGAGCGAATGCAATGCAATGCGTGTGTGTGTATTGTCACAAGACGCCAGCCAACCAACCAACCAACAGACAGACAGGGGGGAGGGTCCCAACCGAGGCAGAGAGAAAATCCCCACGAAGCGCACCGACCGTACCGTCGCACCTGTCATCTGTCGCATTCATCACGCAATGCAATTCACCCACACACACCCACACACCACAGCCACACACGCATGGAAAAATACTACTACCTGAGCAGCAGCCCCTCCCCCACCCCTCCCAGCAGCCGGCCAGCCGTCACAAAGAAAAAACCGCCCTCGTCTTTGCTGCTGGCCTGCCTGCCTACCTACAGGTACCGACTCATAAAAGGACCACGCTCATGCCATCCATTCGTCCATCCATCCGTCCGCTCACAAAGGGTCGCAAACGCAGCGCCAAAAAGACATCCAGTGACAAAAGAATCAATCAATGGTCCACAATCCGAGCCAATCCCATCCAATCCACACACGCACAGCACGCACAGCACACAGATTCCTTCAACAAGGCAGGCAGGCCAACACCACGAATGGCACAATGAATGGCACAAGACACCAACACACGGCAGCAGCAGCAGCAGCATCACCACAAGATATATAATACACATAAACTCCCCTCGCCTCGTCCATCCCATCCACCACACCATGCAGCGCATCAAGCCATCAAGCATCAAGGCGTCAGTCAAGCGTCAAGCGTTAAGCGTCGCATCAGATGGTCAAAGGGGATTTCTCGCCCTCGTCGCAATCGCCATCCCCCTCCCCAGTCTCTTCGCTCGCACGGTCACCGTCGGGCTGCCGCAGGTCCATGTGGCTGCCATCTTTCTTCCCGCAACACCCTTGACCACCCTCGCCAATCTCCTCCTCGGCTATCGGCGTCAGCTGCGTGCCGATAAACCCATACCCCCCGATCGGCCCCCCCACCTGAGGGAACCACCCGTGGGAAAGGGTGAAGTGCCGCACCGGTGGCAGACGCACGGCCGTCACCGGCTGCTGCGTATTGGCGGGGTGGTCCACCCCGCCCCGAGAGCTGGGGATCTCCACTATCGACACACGGCCCCTCCCCAGCCCCAGCCTCTGGAACCCTCTGCTGCTCTTGCCCCCGCCCGAGTCGCTGCTGGCCTCTGGCAACGCGACGATCGCCGGCGGCGGCATGTGGTGGTGAGTCATGCCTCCGTGTGTGTCGACAATGGTGGTCTGGCAGGTCGACGGGAGGGATGACGGCACTGGTGAGTCGGCCATGGTGGCGGGGAGGAGGCCCCGCTCTCGTAGGAGTGAGGTGATGGAGGAACGAGTCTTGGTGACGCAGGGGTGGTGTCTGTAGGCGGAGAGGAGGATGAAGGCGATGGTGACGAGGGTGACCGGGATCAGGATGCCCAGCACCACACCGATGTGCTGCGAGGAGGCGTCGAGCGCCGACGAGTCACGCTCCTGAACAACACCGCACCACCCCACCACGGCAATCCAAGGCAATAAGTACACGCGCACTCCCTCATTTCAATGCATTGAGGTGGTGATTGTCGCTACGCTACCTTTGTCACGAGGGAGCCCTTGAGCGGCTGGCTGTCCCGAGACACCTCCAGCCGCGGATGCTCGACGCTCTCATACCCCTCGGTGATCTCCAGCTCATCCTCCATCGGCAGATCATCCTGCACATATATATATATCACGACACCACACACACACACACATCGACGTCATGAGAGCGGTATTCTCTGTCTGTCTGTCTGTTCTCCTTCTCCCTCCCTGCTGACCACAGGAGGGTAGGTTGGTATGACCCGCCCCTCTGTAGGCTTCACCGTCACCACATTGCCCTCCCCCGCCCCCATGTTGGCCAAGAGCAGATGCGCAGGCGGCTGCCGGATGCGGAACAGCACTCGCCACGTGTCGATGGTCCCAACCGTCACATTCACCGTCACGGGGTTCTCCTGCAGCCGCTCGATCGGCACCAACGCCTCCTCGTCCGTGGCATTGGCGCTGCTGCCGTTGCCATTGCTGCTGGCGGCGGCGTATGTGGTGGGGAGGGGGAGCGACCAGCTGCCGAGCTCGGCTGCGCACTCCTCCAGTTTGATGTTGCGAAGAGCGAATGAGAAGGGCTGGTGGCTGCTGGAGGAGTCGTCGGCGCAGCGGGAGTGGCCCCCACCGGTGGTCGACGAGTGGGATGAGGCACAGGTGTGGGCGAAGTACAGCTGGATGGCCTCAACCTAATAAACCATAGAGAGAGAGAGAGAGAGGGAAGATGTGTGTGTGTCTCCCTATATGTGTCTGTCTGTCTGTCTGTCTCTCTCCGTGTGCTTCCCCACTCCACTCACCCGGCCCATCAGGTATTCCGGCAACAGCAGCTCATCCTTCCTGTCGCCATCGCACCGCCGCGCTCCGCTCTGCGCCGACACCGGAAACCACGACGGGCTGATGGCCGCCTTGACCTCCAGCCGCACCAGCTGCGGCTGTGCGTGCGCATACCACTCGAGCACCACACCCCGGAGACACAGAGGCCGCCCGAACACCAGCCGCAGCCCGGCAGGTGCCTGCCTGTTGGCCGAGACCTCTTTGGCTTTGGCTGGCAGGGGCGGCACTGGACGGAGGGAGGAGGAGGGCGGCAGGGAGGGGTCGCAGGGGTCGTGCGCCTTCCACACCGTGTGTGGGTTCTGGTCGATCAGGTGGCGGATGGCGGATTGCGGCAGCTGGTGCCACGAAGACGCGCCGCCCCACCAGTGCGCAATGAGGTCGTGGTGGCGCGCCAGGTACCACCCACTCTCCGGCTCAGCGAGGGCCACGAGATGCAGCGACGTCAGCCCCATGGCCGCCAGCTCGCTCACATAAAGCTGCTCGCTTCCCAGCTTCGCAAAGGACACCGTCACGGACACCGTCTGCCCCGTCTCAATGCGGCCCGGCTGTGCCGCGACCGTCACGTTGACGGCAGGCTTCCTGAGGGCCTGGGTGAAGATCCACTCGGTGTAGGCCGGTGGGCCGGGCCCGCCCTCTGAGTAGGCAGAGATTGAGAACCGCGTTGTTGTGTTTGGGGGCAAGTGGGTGGTGAGGCTGCAGAGGTCCGCTGTGGCCGTGCTGTTGGGCGCCGACTGCGCCGCGAGCAACTGCAGCTCACAGACCTCCATGTGCCCGCTGCTGGCCGATGCCGAGACGTCATAGACCTCCGGGAAGCCGAAGTAGCTGAGGTGAGCGATGGAGGGGTAGAACTCCGGCACCAGACGGAAGAATCTGATCTCTGGGGAGGGTTTGGGCGGCAGTTGCGAGCCCCAGTGGACGTCGGCCTGCATCCACTGGCAGCAGCAGGCGATGCAGGTGGACGTGTGGACGCTTGACACATGGGGTGAGGCGGGAGCGGGGGGCGAGGGG